GCAGATCACCATGACACACATTTGTTTGGACAAACAGCACCATTTGCCTACAATCTTCTCTAAAAGGATGCCCATTGTCCTTCTCTGGGCCAAGTGCCCCTCTCCCCAGGGAGATTCCTGGCAGCACCAGGAACCTGAGGGGAGATGGAAAGATTAGCCAGGAAGTAGATGCCATATGGACTGAAATGTGCAGCAATTTCATCAGGAGAATGAAATGAGGAAAGAGTCGGGGAAGACTGGCAGAACAGCGGGCTCAGCAGCAAGTCCCAGCCTGCGTGAAGGGGAGAGGGGTGGAGGGTGTCTTGCTCATACAGGGCCAAATCCTTAAATCCAGGGGAAATCCTTGAGGCAAAGTACACAAATAAAGAGACTCCTCCACTTAGTATCTCACTGTCTGTACATAGTTCTTTGTGAAGAGCCACCATGGGCGATACAGCTTCAACCAATGACAGTAGAGCAACTCTACCATTCCCAATTTCTAGGGATCATTCTTGTGGCCACTACAAGGGTTACAGTAGAAACTTCTTGTTCTCAGAAAAAGCAAAGACTTTGGGATAAAGATTGAAAAATGCAACTAAGCTCATCAGCTGAGCACAAAGTTTAAGCCCTCTCTCTGCTCTACAGGGGGAATCTGCCACCAAGGACCTCTTTAAAGAGCTAAAGAGCAAGGATGTCAGTTGAAAGACTAAGGTACGCCTGATCCAAATCTTGGTGTTTCCAAATGCTTTTGCATACATCTGAAAAGTTGGGCCATGATTAAGAACGAGCGAAGAAGAGTTGATGTCTGACTTGTGCTCAAGGACTTGTATCTCACGGACTGTCAAAAGAACAAACAAGGTTGTCTTGGAGGAAGCACAACCAGGATGCTCCTTAGAGGCAAGATGGGAAGATTTCATCTCACATTCTTTAGGTGTGCTGTCAGGAGGGGCGAGTCCTTGGGAAATGACATCATGCTGGGAATGGTGAAGGGTCAGAGAAAGAGAAGAGGACAAGATGAACTGACACAGAGACCACAGCGCTGAGCTCCCGCATAGTGGAGATCCCGATAAAGGCACTGAGTCAAAGACGACTTGATGGTGGCAGCTGACATCTCTGCTTTTCACGTTCCTCAGATGTCAAATGCTAGGGAGCGCTCAGAATGCCATCACAGCACCACAGGAGAGGCTCTGAAAGGGTGTGGTCCGTAACTTCTCATTTTGCCAGAGATGCCAGGGGGCAGAGTAAGGAGAGTACCCCAAATGTGCCCTTCTAGGGTAGCACTCCAGGTCCTCTCCCATCCAGGCTTTCTGAGATGACCATCCCTCACCCCAAGCAGGCTCAGATCTGGCCCATGGTGGGCTGGCAAGGCCAAGCTGGCTTTTAAATCAACCAAGAAATATCCTGATAAATATCTCCCCCAGGGCCAGAGAGAAATATTTTAGAGGCAGCCCGCCAGGGCAGAGATAGCCACTGTGAGGCCTCGGCAGGGAAGGGAAGGGGAGAGGCGTCTTTTTGGACAGGACTATAAATCCAGAGGCTGGGCTGCTTTCCACCCACCCAGGCACACTCAGGCACTCAGCTCCTCCAAGGCGTCTCTCTCCCTCTCTCTCCGTCTCTCTCTCTCTCTGTGTGTGTGTGTGTGTGTGTGTGTCTCACTCTCTCTCTCTCACTCCCCTTTCTCCAGAGCTCTGCTTGTGCTCGCTTGTTCGTTCTGTCTCTCCTCCTCATCCTCTTCATCTTTCTCCTTCTTTCCTCCTGTTTGCTCCTTTGTCTCTCTCTCTCTCTCTCTCTCTCTCTCTCTCTCTCTCTCTGTCTCTCTCTCTCTCTCCTCTCTCTCCTCTCTCTTTCTTTCCTTCCTCTGTCTCACTGTGACCCCAGGAGGATTTTTTTCTGTTTCCAGCTTCCCACCTCTCTCTCAGTATCTCTTCCTTTCTTTGCATTCCCCTCTGTCACTGATCAGCCCTCACCCCTCCCTCTCTCTTGCCTACTCCCTGGATGCCTCTCTTCCCATCTCTCTCTCCTCTTCTCCCCCTGCTTGGCCTCCCAGCCAGCTCAGCTCCCTTTGTGCTGCTCTGAGCTCCGGGCAGGAGCTGAACCCCAGCAGCAAGGTGGGGAAATCAGAGGAGACTCTCCTAATTTCCCCTTCTTCTTCTCCTGTACCAGGCTGAGAGCACCCTTATTGTGGGCCACAGGCCACAAAAAAACCAAGCAAAACCCCACCAGATAGTGGGCAAGGTAGCCATTGAGCTTCTCCTAGACCCTGTGTTCCGTTTAGCCCAACATTTCAGCAGGATCAAGTCACTGCGGCCCTGCAGTGAGGCAGGGATTTGGAGTGGCCAGAAGGGCTCTGTCTTCCTGTCTGGCCAGAGGTGAGAAAGCTCTTGCTGAGAGGTGTGGTGCCAGAGGAGAGGTGGCCTGATCCTGGCTCCCAGGAAGTTTTGGGACATTGGCGTTTTCAAGAATGTAGACAGGGCCCTCCACTGAAGAGATAGGTGCATCCAGAGGTTGGGGTGCTCAGGATATGGGACCAACTCCCTCCTTCCATACCACAGTCCTGCCAGGCACAGGGGCAAATCACGAGGTCAACTTGTGGCTGCCTCAGAAGCTGAGGCCTTTGTAGTTAAAAGCCTCCTATGATGGCCCCACTTCCATCACTGGGCCTGACTGTCCCTGGGAACTGCAATGGCCAGTGTGTCATCACACTCAAAGCCCCCAGGCTCCTGAGTTTGTGGGCCTGAAATGTTCTCCCTGAGAGAGGGAAGGGCATCTCCTCAGGTCCCTGGTTGGATTTTTCTTTCATTTGCAGTAACCTTGTGTCCATGTTTCTGCAGATTCGGAGGCTGCAAGAGAAGTGGGTGTAAAGAAAGGCAATTCTGATCCCTTGCGGGAAGTAGCTCTCTCTCCCTCTCCCTCTCCCCCCTTCTTTCTCTCTCTCTTTCCCTCTCCCCCTTCTCTCTCTCTCCCCTCTCCCCCCCTCACACACACACACACACACACACACACACACACCGTACTTCACAAAACCCCTTTCCACTGCCTTGGAGTCACTTCTGACTCAACGCCACCCTATAGGACAGAGCAGAAATTCCCTATCTTCCTTCCAAGGCTGTAAATCTTAATAGAACCCCTTTAAGTTAGCAGCTAAGTGCTTAACTGCTGTGCCACTAGGGCCCCTTAGCCACCCTAGTGAAGTAGACTTCTACTCACGCAGGCCTTATGGGATGGGGTAGAACTGCCCAAAGGTGTTTCTAAGGGTGTAAATCTCATTAGGGTGTCTTAGGTTGAACACACACACACACACACACTGTACATCCACGTATGGGTCTCTATTCCAGGCCCCGCCACCAGAGGGCACCCGAGACGCGGTAACCTAACTGGGCGGACAAGCTGCCCCTCCCCCAGCTCTCCTGCGCTCTCTTTGGTTTCTCTCATCCCCTAAATCCAGGCAGCTCTTGAGTAATCCTAGAGACGTGGGCTGAGACAATCCCAAACCCACTCTCCTCAGCTTAGTGTTCTCGGTCCACTGACCACTGCCTGCTTACTGCCAGGTGGCGCTGCCTCCGGGCCACTTCAGAGGACCTGGGCTGTGGATGGGACCGCAGGCAGCTGCGGGAGAGCTTTGGGGACGATCGAGAGGGGTGGGACGAGCCCTGGACGCGGAGTCCAGAGGGCTGTCTGAGCGCCTGGTGCTCTGCACTTGGCCTTTTCCCTCGCTGGCCTGGTTTTCTCCTCTGTAATAGGGCAGTGGGGTGGCCGGGTGATACTCAAAAGTTCTTGGAGCTCAGACTAAAGACAGGCATCACCCTCCAGAGCAGTACCTCGGGGGAAAGGGCTGGGGGAAAGGGCTGGAGGCAGGGACCGCAGGGACGGAAACTCTGCAGCCACCCTTGGCTCCCGAGGCGCAGGGGCGCGCAGCACTGCGCTGAGTCAGTGCGCTGAGCGCAGCCCGGACTCGCACGCAACACAGTGCGCACCACAACCTGCGCCCCACTCTCCTGCTCCGTGGGGACCCGCGTCCAAATCTCCCCTCCCAGGGCCCCCACCTCTGTCCACCCGCTGCCTGCACAGGGCACCAAGTCGTTGGGGTGTTGGTGATGGGTGCGGGGCGATGGCCCTAACTCTGGACGCTGTGTGATGTCCATTGTACTGAGGAGGGCGCTCTCCCTCCGCCCAGCACCACAGCATCTTCGCTGCATCCCGGACACCAGCGATGGGAGACGGACCAAGGAAGCAGCGCGCTCTGGGCTTCTTGGGGAGGAAGGGGTAACACGGACCCACACGCACCGGGGCGCCACGGCACCTCCAGGACTAAAGCTGGCTTCCACTCTGGGGCCCCTGCCTCCCATTCTCGCCGGGTCTTCTCCCTCACCACCCCCGCCCCCGGAATTGAGAGCCCGGGTCTTGAAGGTTCAAAAAGTCAAGAGGCTGGAGAAATGCACTGTGCAAATATATGGGCTTTATTTTTGTCTCCGTTCGGGAGCCTCACAGACATATCCAGGTAAAAAGATCGTTAAATAAACACCGTCAGCCATCGCAATGCAAAAATAAATATCAATCCTCTGGCCTCAGCAGCAGCTACGCTGCATCCAAGTCCCATCGGCCGCGCCTAACAATTATAAAAGTGTTCAGCGAGAGGGTGCTGGCGTGAGTGTGGGCGGGTGTGCGCAGGGGGCACGGTGGAGCGGTGTGCAAAGTCGGAGTTGCAAACCCTCCGACCCGGGGCCGAGTAGGGCGCGGGCGCCTCTGTGCGCACACTCACAGCAGAGTCCGTACTGGGAAGAGTTAAAAAAGAAACATTTACAAGGGCAGAGAAAGCAGCCCCCTCCCCGGCGCCCCAGCGCCCCTGCGCTCTGGCCCGGGGCGAGCACCGCGCCCTGCGCTCCGACCAGTTCGCAGCCGAGCGGGCTTCCAAGCACGCGGGGAAGCGGTGATCTCGGGTCCCCAGAGAGGGAGACCCGGGTCGCACTCTAGTCCCTGCACCGGCCGCGGAGACGCGCGGTCCTCGCTCCGGGCCGTGCCCCTCACAGGGCCGAGTCAGAGTCGCTGGAGTCCAGGCTGTTCCTCAGTTTGCAGCTGCTGAGCTGGTCCCTCTGCAGCGACAGGCTCTGCGTGCTGCGGCGCAGGCATTCCAGGCTCTGCAGGAACGACTTCTTGGCCTTCTCCTCCTCCATGGGGGACACTCCTTCCTCCTCCACCTCCTGGATCTCGTCGAAGGTCACCGGCTGCGTCTTGAAGCGGGACTGGCGCGGCCGCCGCAGCCGGCCCTTGCCCTTGGACAGCTTGGCTGGCCGCACGGGCTGCGGGAACTCGTCGGCCAGGCACACGAAGTGCGGCATCACCGCCTGGTAGCTGGAGCATATGCCCATCAGCTCGCTGGACTTGGCGGTCGCCATGGCGCTTCCGGCGTCTTCGGGGCCCGGCGGCGGGGCGCTGGGGCTCTCCGGGGGTGGCGGCTGCACCGGGGCCCCCCGGGAGGCAGCAGCCTGGGGCTCGCCTGGCGGGGGATCCAAATCTGCTGCGGGGTGGCGGCGGCCCTCGCGGGCCCGGGCCGGCGCTCCTCGGGAGGGCGGGCGGGCGGGGGGCCCGTCGGGGGGCAAGGGGCTCCGGGGGCGCTGCTTCACCGTGCTCCGAGGCACACGCCGCCGCTGCTGTCGCTGTCTGGCCCGCGGCGGCCCAGCCGGCGGCTTATATAGCCCGCTCCTGCCCACACGGCTGTGAGCTCGGATGACAGCGAATGCCATTTAAAGCGTGCGCGCCCCGCGCCCTTCCGCCGGACGTCGCCCCGCCACTCTGGGAAAGTAACAGCCCCTTCCCAGGCGCCGCCCGCTCGTTCCCCCAACCCCCACCCCCGCCAAGCCGACTCCGAAAAGCAAGCCCCGCCCGCGGGGACAGAACCACCGCAGGGCTCCCGAGCGCACGGGGAGGGAGTAAGGGAGGAGCAGGGTCCCCCGGCCCGCGGGCATGGGCTTTCACTGTCCTTTCTGGGACTGTCCCAAGTCTTTTCCAACTGGGGTGACCGCAGGGACTCAGGCCCACTTCCCCGCCCCTCATCTCTGATGCACACACTCCAGGCTGGTGGTTCCGCCGCTAGGTGCGCGCTCGCTGGTGCGCAGAGCGCAATTCTGCTTCCCGCTCGCTTGCAGCCGGGAAAGCAGAGCGCCGGCTCCCAGGGATGAGCTCCGAGGCTTGGGGCGAGTTTCTTTTCTGAATCCTTGCCACCTCTCCCCCTAAAACACCCAAACCCTAACCAACCTCCCGCTATTTCGTCCTGGTTCTTTGTGTAGGTCTCTTTACTAACCTCTGAGTTCCTGAACAACCCCTCCAAGCTCAGGGACGAACGACCTTTGATTAAGGACACTAAGGCAGTGTGTCTACCGCGTCTCCTCGAAGTATCTAGAGAGCTTCCCTCCAGGCCAACCAGTGCGCTCATGTTTTGCATATATAAATATCTATGGATCCTGACAACCATGTGTGGTAGTTATTTTACATGAGAAAACAGACACAGGGAGGGTTAGGTCACTTAGGAAGCAGGTGGGTGGTCTCTAGAGCTCACGTCTTCTACTTCCTTGCTGAGGGAGCTCTGGTGGCCTTAGTGGTAAGAAGCTGCACTGCAAAAGTACGCGGTTCGAATCTCCACGGGGGAAAGATGGGCACTTGCTTCCGTGTGTCTTACTGCCTCCGCAAACTCGCTAGAGGGTCAGCTATTGGTCAGTTTGAGCTGATGGTGCACCACCACCACAACAACAAACCCCTTGCTTAGTGCCCTCCTCCGGTGCTCCCTCCTGCTCCCCAGCCTTCTGGAGCAAGCTGGCAGCCTCTGCAAGGTGCCCTAGGGGAAACTGAGGAAGCCCCTGCCCTCCAGCTGGACATGCAGGCTTGTACAGCAATGCACTGGCAAGGCTGGCGGGCCCTTGACAAAGGAAGGAGTTGGAATTTAGTAACCATTCCCTCCATATGCTCTGCATATCCATGCGAGGACAAGTTATTGTGCTCCAACTGTGTTGGCTGGTGGGAGGCATGGAGAGGGAAAGGACAGGTAGTCCCAGCTCCCCTAAGAGTTATGTTATTTTTTAATTGTCATTATTATTATAATTATTATTATTCTTAATTTTAATGAAAACATACAGATTTTGGATTTCTATTCGTTAACTGTTGCACTTTTCTCCCTGCCCACTCCTCCCCTCACACAAACACATGAAGAAATGTTCAAAATCCCTAGCTCTAAGAGAGATGCAAATCAAAACAACTATGAGATATCATCTCACCCCAGTCAGAATAGCAAAATTTAATAGAACAGCAAACAACAAATGCTGGCGAGGTTGTTGTGGAGAACCTGGAACCCTTCTTCACTGTTGTTGGGAGTGTCAAATGGTGCAACCACTGTGGACGGCAGTATGGCGCTTTCTCAAAAAGTTACAAATAGAAATACCATTTGACCCAAGAGTTATGTTCTAAAAGGGAAGACACACACGGACCCTGTGCTGAGATGAGAATCAAGCTGGTGATGTGCTAGGGATGCCGGAGGACAGAGCAGCAGTCAGGAAAGGCTTTGCAGAGTAGGAGGTGTTACACTAACCTGACATAGAATAGTAATAACCCTAACCAGTTGCCCCAGATGAGATGAATTGGCTCATTGGGGGGAAATGGGTCTAAGCGTGGTAGAGACGGTGAGGATGGTACTGGACAGGGCATGGTCTCCATGCATTGTTTGCAGGGCGATTATGAGTCATAGTTGACTCAATGGAACCTAACGACAAACCGTCAGTTGCCTTCTGGTGATCCCACGTGTGCCGGGGCAGAACTGTGTGTCCAAGGCTTTTCCACGAGTCATTTGGGGGAGGCAGATGGCAAGGCCTTCCCAGGCGTCTCCAAACCTCCTCCCTTTTGGTTAGAAGATAAGTACGCTGAAGGATAAGCATCATTCACTGACTGACTGACTGACTTCGTGCCATCGAGTCAGAACACACTCAGCTGACCATCCAGAGTTTTCGGAGGCTGTAAATCATCTGGGAGGAGCAGCTGGCACACTCAAAGCTCTTGCCTTTGGATTGGCAGTGCAACTCTTTAAACACAAGGCCCCTGAGCTTCCTTTTGCATCACTCAGGGAACTGCATAATAACACACTGATTCTCTCTTATTGCCATTGAGTCAGAATTGACTCATAGCTCAGCCTCCAGCAGGTTTTCAGAGGCTGTAAATCACACAGGAATATATTGCCCATCTTGCTCCCATGGAGTTATGGGTGGGTTCCAGTCATCAGAGAGCCACCACCTTTGGCTTAATAAAGAGACTCTTCTATCCACTACGCACCAGCTATTGCTATGAGCCATCAAGGCAGATCTGGCTCCTAACTGACCTTCCAGCAGGCAGTTTATTGAATGGGAGGAGATTGTCTTTCTCCCGCTGAGCAGCTGGTGGGCTCAAACTATGTGCTTTTCGGTTGGCAGTGAGAGTCCTTACCCCTAGGCCACCAGAACATCCTCTAGAAATATGTTGTTGTGTACTGTCAAGTTGGAACCATAGCTGACCCTCCTGTGGGTTTTCAGAGACAGTTAACTGCATGAGAGGAGACTGCCCATCCTTCTCCAGTGGAACAGCTGGTGGATCCAAACAGCACACCTTTGGGATTGAAGCACAGTAACTTGCCTGAAGGTTACACAGCTAAGTAGCAGGGCTGAGCTTCAAACCCAGGTAACTTGACTCCAGAGCCTTCTCTCTTATCCAGTAGGCTGAAGTGTGAAGTGCTTGCTTTGTGTAGTACAAAGATGGAAGAAACCACATGACAAAAACACATGAGAGAAGTGTGTTTTTGTGCCGAGGGCAAAGGTTCTGAGGCAGAAGAAGCTTACAATACCAAGAGAGTCAGCATGATTAAAGCAGAGGACAGAGGAGATGAGCTGTAGGGACTGTCACAAAAGGCCTTGATTCGAGAGTTGTTCTTGGTCTTAGCTGCCACACTACTCATGGCTGCTGCATACACAACAAAAGAAAGCCCTAGTCAGCCTTGCACCATCCACATGATCCCTGGTGGGTCTGATCCTTGCCAGGCCTTTCTTCCCAGTCCACCTTAGTCTGGCAGCTCTGCTGAAGCCCATTCAGCATCTGTCTCTGTCGGAGCAATGCATGGCTTCTGCTGACAGCCGGGTGGGGGTTGCACATGAGGTGCGTGTGGTTTCTGTGCTCCACTGAGTCAGAATTGACTGCTGACCCTTCAGGGCCTTTTCAGAGGAGGCAGTAAAACCAGACTGAAGGAGAGTGCACTCAAAGCTCTTGCCCTTGGATCTGCAGTGCAACTCTTTAACCGCGAGGCCCCCTGGGCTTCCTTTTGCATCCCTCAGGGAACTGCGTAATACCACACTTTCTTTTATTGTCATCGAGTCAGAATTGACTCATAACTCAGCCTCCAGCAGGTTTTCAGAGGCTCTAAAGCGCTCCCACAGAGCTGCTGGTAGATTCGAACTGTGTGCCTTCAGGATTGCAGTACTGCTGCTTTCTGCTAGGCCACATGAGATGTACTGACTGGGAATCAAACTCATGTCTTCTACCTGAAAAAGGCAAGAATTCTACCACTGAGCCACCACCTCCCCTCTAGAAAGAATATGGCTTAGCGAGTACCAGGTAAGCAACCCAGATATTGGAAGATTGAAAGCCAGTGGCTCCTGATAGCATTTAAAAGCTCACCTATGACAACTTGCAGGCCAAACCATGCACCTGCCGAGTCTGTCCTTCCAGAAAAGTGGTCGGAAAGAGACAAAGAAGGTTTGCACGTGTTGGCTGCTTGCTGCTACTTTTTGCAGGGTTTACAAGAAAGAGATTGGCCAGTTTGCAAGCAGAGGTGGCCAGAATTAGAGTGTCCAGAAAACCAGTGTTTTCAGAGTTGGAGAAAGCTACTGGGTTTGATAAAGCAGCAGAATTTCACTATTGTGTCTAAGAGCAGCTCACACTCCTGCAACAGATAGTAAGTGGCAGGGTTGCCTTTCCACAAAGCCTAATGTTTCAGCTTTAAGAGAACTTTGAGATGAAGGAGAAAGGGATGGGTTGGGCAAGAAAGACAGACTTCAGAACTTGGTCTGGAAAGGAACTTTGGGTGTGGTTATTGGCCTCTGACACTGACTGGAAATAGATCTGAAACCTATTATGTTTTCTAAAGAATTTCTATTATCAAAGAAATTTCAAGGTTGGACTACAAACTCACATAGTTTTTCAAGCCCGATTCAGTCTCCCTACAAGGGATGTAGGGAGTGAAAAGAAAAGAAAAGAAAATGAAAAGTCAAAGTCAAGGGCCAGGGAGGACACAGGGCAGTGGGCTCACCACCGAACAGCAGATCCAGGGTCTACTCAGACAATTGTACCCACTGCCAGCACAAGGAAGTCTCATTGCTTTAGAGGGTGAACGGTGAAGGAGGCTGTCAGCTGTTAGCGGGGCCCTCAGTTGTCCCAGTCCCCAATTTCCCCTGCAGCCAGGAGAGACCAGGTGTCTAGACTTACCCATGGAAGGTGAGCAGACATGATATGTGTGATTTCTGCCTCACTTACTTAGACTTCCGTTTTGCTTCTCACTCTGAATGGCAAGAGATGTAGAAATCTCCCTGTTAAAGACACAGAGCCATCCGGAGGTCCTCAAACGGTCAGTTGGAACAGAACTACCATGATGGACAAGGTTGTGCATCAAGTTGACGGCCCAAGATTCTCTGGTTTGACAGTTGTGATGTGGTCATTCCTTCAGTGAGGTTTGATGCAGTATAGCTGTTCCTTTAATGCGATGTTATGAATCATGAGTCAGTTCAAGG